TTGTTGCCTGATGGTGGCAGCAGGAACGATGGATCAGAGAGTAAAAATGAATCAACATACGTATCAGAGGACGGAAGTCCATTGCAGAATTTTCAACGGAAAAGGTTCCAAAAATCCCCAATTTCGGAAGTAATTGCTGCACATGGGAGAAATTCAACTTCAGGTAACACTTCTCAATTCAGCTTTCTGGTTTTAAACATGGACATACTTGGGTTGGAGTTTCTAGAACTGGTTCTTGTATTGGTTATTTCTTCTACACTTATAGTCATCGAGATGTGTGAAAAATATTAAATTAGTACATGGTGTTACATTAAACTTGGAGACATGATGTCTTCTCATGTCAAAAATTATCAGACACAAGGAAAAATTGAAAAGCAGTATCAAGTCTAGTTACATGATGGATAGTTCTGTAAAGTCTCAATGTTCTATCTGAGTGGAGAGAAACTGACATCACAAAGTAAGAGCAGAAGCAGCAGAACTATCAATTTGTTTTTGCTTTATTTTTGACATTGATGCACTAGCAAGCCTAGAGGAATTAGATGGTTATTTTAAATATGATGCCACCATTAATCAAAGAGAAATGAGCTGTTAGTAATTTTTTTCAAGTGTTAATCAATGTTTAAAGTTACACCATGCAGTCATGCACAAATAAACCACAAAGGAATGGAAAACAAAAAAGATGATAACGTGAGAACATCATATCTGTTTATTCTGAAACTTGAAGGAGAATAATTTAGTTACAGACATCCGGCTAGTGAGATTAAGAAACCAGATTTTGAGAGTCTTAGATTTATTTGGGATGATATATTTTTTTTCCAGACATGAAGTGTTGGTGATAGTTCGTAGAAGAAAAGGCTAGACTGAAAAATGAATAAAAATGTATTCATTTCAACCGTTTTCCATGGAAATATTTGAAGAATCAAAACATGTCGAGTTTAATCGGAAGTTACCAAATTATTGAAAATAATCTCTTATAGTTTCCATGCTTGTGCTCCCTATAAAGTAATCAATGGTTTTCTTATAAATGTTTCGTTTCTATATCTTAAAAGTGTTTACTAAAGAGAAATCAGGATAGGATTCTTACCACTTGGCTTAGTCAATTTAGCTCTTAATACAGGATATTCAAGTTTTTTTCTTTATTGGTTATTTAGATAGGTGAGTTTTGATGAATACTTCCTCTGATAGAACCTGGGAATATAATATGGGCAACTAAGAAAACAAGTATAGATAAGGTGGTTTTGTATTGCTTGCTTTTCGGCCTGTTAAAATATAGATTACAACAATTTATATTTAACTAATCCAGTGGTTTGCTATTATTCTAGTTTCTGACACGGTTATTCATGAGGTTGCAGACCACTCTTTTTCAAGGACTGTTACGGATGTGAGCGCGGAACAGGTGAGGTTATAATACTGAATATATATATATATATATAGTTGGTTGGTAATATTTGATACATTCCATAACGATGAATCACTTTCTAGGTGAATGGGTTGGCAGAATCATCAATAGTATCATGTCCATCTCCCACAAAACCATCATTGCCTTCAACTTCATTATCAGCGTCTCCTCTATCATCCCAATGTAACATACCCCCATCGAGCTCGACCCCTTTAAGGTGGCCTTGCCATTCCCCAGGACACCAGCTATCACGGCAAGCTTCTGATAGCCGAATCCCAGCAGTTAAGTCACCCAGCAGCCTCTCTCTGTCTGAAGAAAGGCCTGTGTTTCCTTCATGGAGCAATGAAGTGGGTATGCGCTCCCATGGTGGATCTTCAGATGGTTGGTCTATACCTGGTTTTTCTGAGCGGATGGGAACTCCCCACAGAGATAGATGGTCATTTGATAGTGAATCTTTTGGTTTTAACCGTGAAAGATTAGCTAGACCCAGTAGTTGGTTTTCAGCTTCACCAGTTGATTCGCAATCATGTGGTATTTGCTCAAAGCTTTTAGTCGAGAAGTCTTCTTGGAGCACCCAAAAGATAATTGCTAGTAATGACCTTTCTGTAGTTGCTGTCCTTGTCTGTGGGCATGTCTATCATGCTGAATGTTTGGAAAGTATGACACCTGATACCAATAAGTATGATCCAGCTTGCCCAGTTTGCACTTTTGGTGAGAAACAAACTATGAAGTTGTCTGAAAAAGTTCTGAAAGCTGAAATGGATTTGAAGGCTAGAAACAATAAATCAAAGAATCGGGTTGTGGACAGTGATATTGACGATGATTCTGTTGTGTTCGATCACTTTAAAAGGAGAGGGCTTAAAGGTAAAGGTCCTAGGATTGACTCCAGTTCCAGTGGGAGAAGCTCCTTCGGGAAACCTTTTCTCAGGCGACACTTTTCCTTTGGATCAAAGAGCTCCAGATCCGTGTTGGATAATCACCCTACAAGAAAGAAGGGTTTCTTTTGGGCAAAATCTAGCAAGGCATAAGCTACTTCTTGGTTGTTGGGAGGTCAGTGGCATTATCTTCATTAAGTTGCACCCGTGTGTTTTGTCAATAGCACCTTTGAATTTAGCTTATGCCATGCATTGCTATGAAACAATGAGTTATTGCTTTATTTCCATTCTATAGTTGGCAAGTTAATGTACAAGTCAAGATTCTTTCTGGTTTCGTCGTGTGCACAACAGAACTTGAACTTCAAACAGTTCATATGCCCAAGCTGTAGACTATAGCACGCTGGAAACCTTCAATAATTCCTCTGTACTTAACATTTTTTTTTCCACTTTCTTTATAGCAGGTTTCACTGTTGATCTTCCCTGCATCCTCAAAAGATTTGTGAAAAGGACAAGATGCAATTCAGAATTTCAGAGCATCTATATACACTAATATGCGATTTCAACAAGATTACAGGTTGAAGTTACTCTGTAAAGAAGACACAGAAGTATAAGATGAACAAAATATAGTGTTGAGACCAAGGGTCTTTCTGCGTTGTACAGGTCGATTTGTTTATTGCATGGATATAATTCTTGTATCCAAATGACATTCTGTTTTCCATGGTTCTGCTTATGTGTAGTGCAAACCAGTGCCTTGGGAGTTTCTGGAGTTGGGCAATGGTCTAAACAGATTGATAGGCAATACCAATTATTTCCATCGACTTTAGTTGGTTGCTTTTAATGAAAGAGCAGTTTCAGGACACCCTATTATCGAGTCGGTGTTTTTTTGGCATATTGAATTATATACTTTAAATTCTGATGTGTTCCCTTTAATGAAAAGAAAGGTTTTAGCATAGCATTCTGTCAAATTAATGTTTTTTGTCGGTATCAAATTGAATTATATACATTTTCAGCGTCTCCATCGTCGTTGTTATATGACATAGACACCAATATGGATGATATTTTGACAATGACGTGACAAGAAAATAGTGATAGTGGTTTTAACAGAAATAGAAATCTTCACCATCAAATGCATTATTTAGATTATTATGTGATTTACTTTATTTTTGAGTTATAAATTATAATATTTACCTTCAGAGTTCTGTATGACTCAATTATTTTAAAAATTCTCATTTAATGTTAAATATAATTTCAAATTAATAAATAATGAAAAAAAATTATTGAGATTGGAGACCTGAAGTAGCTAGTGAGGTTTTGTTAATGGAGATTACTCATTAAAAATGTGAATGGGTATTTTATACTAATCACATAGTTAAGATAAAGTAATAAATACTTCTTAATAATAAATTGTAATTTATTATTTCATATATTTTTATGCAATAAATATAGACAATTATTTTTGTCTTTCATTTTTTACTTATGTTTGCTTTTCATTATTTAATGTATTACATTACATTATCTACCAAAAAAAAACATGAGTTATATTATTTATTTAATATTGTTATCAAATAAGAAATGTATTAATATTGTATCATGTCAATATATTTTTCTTTTAATAAATATACAAAATAAAATAAAATATATGATTCCTACTCGATTCCTTTTTTATTTATTTATTGATATTTTATATAACATTAAACAATACTTGCTAGATGTGTGAGATATCATTCATTCAAATTAAAATATCGTTATTTAATGTTTTATTAGTGTGATAAATTATTTGTTGTAATATTTTTCAAATAGGGGTATAAATATAGGAATAATAATGTTAATAATTTCTAAATAAAAAATTTAAAATAAAAAGATGCATATGGAGCGAAAGTAATATTTAGTTAAATTATTAAAAAAAAATATTTTTTACATTTTTTGGGGGGAAATTTGTTATGAAATTTTTACATAACGAGTAATACTAACATATAGAATTATCTAAAAAAATATAGGTTTAAATATGTTCAAATTGATTTTCAAGTTATTATTTATTATTATTTTTTTGTTTTAATTATTTGATTAATTTTTTTAACTTAGGGTTTATATATACTAATATGTAATTTAATTGGAGGTAATTTAAAATAAAAAATATTAATAAGTAATAATCTGAAAATTAAGCTAATTAGAAATAATTTGAACATATTTAAGAAAAAAAAATATAGATAGTTAGAATTATGATATTTCCTAAAATTTACAAAATTTACAACAACATCGAAGTAATACTCTGTATATTTAATTTTTTTTATCATATTACATGGATTATTGTTTTTTCTATTATGCCTGCCAAATTCTTTTTGAATAGTTAGAAACCTAGCAATATATTAGAACCTATTATTCGAGAATGTGCAGGGACACGTGTCCTGATTTGTCTTACGTGGCAAGGGTTTGTGCAGGCACGTGTTGGCGGCAAGTTACATGCATATATATTGTCCACCGCCGCACGCAGTTTAAAGAGGGTAGAAAGAGGTGCTTGTTTAAGGAAAATATGGCTGAAGCACAAATACGCGACCAGCTCGGGAACCCTATCCCACTCACCGATCAATTCGGTAACCCCGTCAAGTTAACCGACGAGAACGGTAATCCCGTTGTTCTCACCGGAGTGGCTACCACACTCACTGGTACTGTCCCAGATCTCTTGCCAACCCAAGCTAGGAACAATGAGACAGACCTTGCTCGTTCTTCCAGTACTACTTCAACCTCTAGCTCTAGCTCTAGCTCTAGCTCGGTATGTATCATCATTTTATTTTCCAACAATATTTAGTTAGTTAAACTATTTTTTGCCAATAAATTATAATTATATGATGGTGTTGTTTTGTATATATGTTCAGTCTGAGGACGATGAGGAGCAGCATGCAGAAATAACCACCGCTAGCCACCCAACTGTAACCACCATTAGCCACCCTGAGCCTGAGAAGAAGGGCTTACTCGAGAAGATCAAAGAAAAATTGCCTGGCCATCTCAACCAGTAGTACTGACTACTGAACAAGAACAACCATGTGCCATCATGTCTTTTTAATAACTAGCTACCTACTTTCACATATATTACGTAACCATATCTCATCTCATTAATCATGTCATATTGTATATTGTATGTAGTATGTACAACGTATTTCTATGTGTCCTATATATCACTCTCTGCATGCTTCTGCTCCAGGGGTTTCATTTCAATTAAAGGGAGCCTCCCAGTAATAGTAGTATACACAGGAACGGATCTGATAAGAATAATAATTTATAAAGGGTAACGATAATTCAATGATTATTCTTAAGCTGAACAATCACAATATCCAATTCTACGCATTTTTTTTTTTCTTTTCATTTAACATACAAACCAAAATTCGTTAAGAAAGTGACCAATTTCTAGAATTCATTAAAACTCTGAAATATAAACACAAAAATAAAAAGCTAAGTTCTATTAATTAATTGACCAAAATCAAAGGAATTTATATCCCTTATGAGAGATGACACAGAATTTAACATTGATAAGATAATTTAAGCCGTACATCAATAGAAGAATAATTTATATCTTATGAGACATGTCAAATAATGTTATATAAACAAATTTGCGATGAGCATATATAATTTCTTTAAAAATAATATTAATTACATAGAATAGAAAAAGATATAGATAAAAAATAATATTAAATTATATAGAATAAAAAAAGATATAGATAATGAGACTAGTAAAAAAACAAGAAAGTAAACATATTTCATGTACATAACTGATCACATGATTAGAAAAATAAATAATTTAATACAAATACAATCATAAATCTCTCTTTAGAGACTTTTTTATTTGTTTTATATAATGTTTGGTTGAGGAAAGTTTTATAAACTTTCCAGTTTAATTAGCTCAATTTTTTTATTTTTAAGGGGAGGGGGAAGGAGAGGGGAATGAAGGGAGCAACCCTTTTCTTATTTAATTTTAGCTGGAATTTTACCAGAGAATTTGGAGGGAGGAGATTTTAAAATATTTTTATTTATATTTTTAAATTTAAAATTATAAAAATATAATAAGGTAAATTAATTTTAAAATTCTTCTCTCTTTTTTTAAACTTAGATATTTAATTTTTTTAATAAAACAAAATTTATATATATTTTTTTCATCATTAAAATCTCTCATTTATCATAACTCGAATAATTATATTGCATAAAAGTATTTTAAAACTTTTTTAACGAGATAGTTGTTTTAGAGTTTTCTTAAATTTTTAATTTAAATCAAATTTTATTTACTATATTTATATATAAAAAAAATTTAAATTTTAAATAAATTATCCTTGATTAACTTTTTATTTATTATATTTATATATTAAGTAAGAAAAGGTTGGATTGAAGAATGAAAATGATCATGTTAGATAATAGTGTAGCTTTTGATAGAACTTTCGCATATAATAGTGTAGCTTTTGATAGAACTTTCGCATAAGTGTTGTAATGTAATTTAACCGACAACTTATATTCATTATTAATGCATTGATGAAATTTTAAATTTAAAAATTATTTAATATTTTGTTTTATTAATTTAAATTGATGGATAATTATAAAAATATTTTATATTAATTTGTATTAATAAGATGGGGTATTGAATAATTTTTTTTTAAATTTATAAATTTGATTTATGTATTATAAAATTTTAATTCAATATTTGAATCGTTAAAATTTAATGTAAAATATTAATAATTAAGTAAAATAAGTCCAAATATATTTATTTTTAGAGTAAGTAGATCTTACAACATAATTCATCAATGATAACTAACATAATATAATACAACTCTGTAATTATCTTGTAACATCAAGATGAAAGAGAAAAGTATAAATATCTTGTAAGTTCCTAAAATTGGTTAGCCACAAGAATTTGGTTCCAGTTCAAAATAGTCTTTGTTCGAATTTCATCTAGCTATAAAAATTTGATCTAGCCAATTTGATTTGAAACATTCTTTAGGTGAACCTGTCCAAATTTTACTTGTGAATATGTCCAAATTTATTTTATAAAATATTAAAATTTAATTTAAAAATAAATATAAATAAATAAAAATTTAAATTAGATTGAACGTAAAGAATTCTTCAAACCATTCTCGTGAAAGAATAGTTACTAAAAACTCTTTTGTACAACTCTTTCGTACAAGATAGCATTTATATTTAATATATAAAAATTAATATTAAATTTTCATTTATAAATAATTATAATAAATAAATAAATAAAATTATATATAAAATTAAAAAAAATTCTAAAAACTCTCTCGTTTAAAAAAAGTCTTTAAAAATGTTATTACATAAGATAATTGTTGATTGTTTATATATAGAAATTACTTTTAACAAATAACAGTAAATATATATATAAAAAAGTATATTAGATAATATGTTGGCAGTATTCTTCTTCCATAATTTACTACTTAGCATCAATTTAGTCTAAAAAAATATTTTTAATTATATATGACTTAAAACTTAATATTGTGAGTAAGATTAGATAAGAAAGAAGAAAACAAGCACCTAAACTATAATTTTGTCGTAAAAAGAAGTAAATTAGAAAATTCTGTATCTAAATGCTAAGAATGTAAAATTAGCAATGCCAAAAGAACTTCTGTTATATTCGCAAACTCCAAATTTAAGAGAAAGTGTAATTTTCATGTGTTACATGAAAATTAATAGAATAAACACACACGCCTAAAGTTAATTCTTTAATAGTGACATAATAATATGATAGGATCGTATTTAAAAAAAAAAAAAAGCAATTACGGAATCTGTGTTGACATGAGCAAAATCAATTAATTATTTTGAAGAAGCCTTCTGTAATGCATTTGATTTGGAACCATTTAACTGCTGGCAGGCATGACATGGTTGAAAATTGCACCCACTTCACTCTTTATCCTTAAATTCACTCAAGAAACAAACTACTTATATCAGTAAAAAAGAAAGAAAAGAAATTAACTACTGTACTTAGATAAAAAATTATCATTAAACTTTTTTAAAATTATTTTATCATTTAGTTTAATTATAAATTTAAGTAAATATTTGTATATACATATAATATTTTGTAACAAAAAATTTATACATATAATATTTTTAAATATATTAAAATTAAACTTAAATATATATTTTTTCTCTCTGAAATAAATGAGGTTTTTTTTTTTTAAATTTTTAATTTAACAACCTCATTTTGATGTGTTAAAAAAAAAAGTTTTGTATTGTTAATTGGAAGAGTATCCGTTCAAGTGTATTATTGCTTGAATCGGTGGTTGTTTGTAAAGCCTATAAGCTTGTGTTGTTTTAGAATCCAAAGAAATTGGGATTAATTTAGGGTTGTTGCAAATTGCAATTGCAAGTGTAGTTTGGTGCCAATTTTCGAAATCCAATTCATCGCGAGGTTTAATGTTGTCACAGTGCCATTTCCTCTCCCAATCCCGAATTCCCAAGGCTGCTGCTGTTTCCCCAACCTTTCGTCTCAGAGCCATGGCGCCTCACACCACGCCTCTTCAACTCGATCGCTTCGCCGAGGTCGGTAACAAACTCGCCGATGCCGCCGGAGAAGTTATCCGCAAATACTTCAGGAAGAACTTTGACATTCTTCAAAAACACGATCTTAGTAACTTTTCATTTTTATCCCTTTAGTTCCCAAAGCTACTATTTCTTTTTTAATGCTTAATCCTGTGCCTTTACTCAATGTTGCAGGTCCAGTAACCATTGCAGATCAATCAGCTGAGGAGGCTATGGTTTCAATCATACTAGATAGTTTCCCTTCTCATGCAATGTAATCTAGTTATTTCTTCTTGTTGCTGAGAATTTGGGGATTTATTTTAAAAAAAGGGTATGATTTTAAGTTTCAGTTATGGAGAGGAAAATGGGTGGAGGTGTAAAGAAAAGAGTGCTGATTATGTTTGGGTGTTGGACCCCATTGATGGGACAAAGAGCTTTATTACTGGTAATATTCTTTCATGGTTTTATTATTATTATTGTTGGGCCAGAGTTCCCGAATTTCGCTTTGACCCTGCTTGTTTTGTATCCATTTCAGGGAAACCTTTATTTGGTACTCTCATTGCTCTCCTACAAAACGGCACACCAGTAAGGATCTCTTACCACTTGAATGCTTATATAGAATTAGACCCATTCACACTTTATTTTCCTTGAACTGCATCACAAATCATTGTTTACATTGTAGACATAGTAAGGATGTTGTCAAGATGAACTACAAATTGAAATTGATCTTGTCATCATTTTTTCAGTTAATTAAGTTGTAAACTTTATGTTGTTAAGTTTGGTTTCCTTTTCAATAGATACTTGGCATAATTGATCAACCTGTGTTAAGAGAAAGGTGGATCGGGGTAACTGGAAAGAGAACTACACTGAACGGACAAGAAGTATCTACACGCACTTGTGCGGACCTTTCTCAAGCATACTTGTATACTTTTCTTCTTTTTCCTTAGAAAACTCTAATGAATTGTTTCTTGAGTGGAAGAGGGGAAAAGAAAGTTGTTCCAGAAGAAGAGTAGTTGACACATATTATCTGCAGCTTCTGACATGGTTAGCAAAGGTCTACAAATCTAACCGGCATCAAATCTAATTTCATATTGTCTATGTAGGTACACTACAAGCCCACATCTGTTCAGTGGAGATGCAGAAGAGGCATTCATCCGTGTCAGAAACAAGGTCTGATGCATTTTAAACATAAAGGGACTCCACATAATATCACAAAAGGATAAAATATACCGTCAGAATATTTGTTTGAAGCATGTTTTTTCCCAACCTTAATATTGTGTTAATTACTACTGAAGCATGGATTACACAAGTTCAAAACACGAAGGGTTAGTGCACATGAATCCACTTGTGTCGTAAAAAATTTATTGTTGTATTACTAACTCTACCTTTCCTGGTCGTTTGATTTCTAAAACATATACATATTATTTACAACACCTTTTTGACCATTTCAAAGTCAACCTTCTGAACTAAAGTATCACAGAGAATGTCAATCTAAGACACCAGAATTACTTGGACCTAGTACATTTCCGATTTAGTTAACAATATCACACTGCACTTTGTCTTCTGCTTAGTTATGTCTCTGTTTTTCATTAACTTGTAACTTTTCCATGTACAAAGACTAATTAAACAGTATTGTCCAAATGGGATTTTTCTGTTTCCCAAAATGTGTTTATCTATATTTATTATTGTCATTCAGTTATTCCTTTTTGCACCTTAACAGGTTAAAACTCCATTATATGGCTGTGACTGCTATGCATATGCTCTTTTGTCATCTGGTTTTGTGGATCTTGTTGTTGAATCTGGTCTGAAGGTATGCTGCACTCTCAGCTTTGGTTGCATGTTTAACTTAGAAACTTTTTGACCAATGACCCATGTAGAGCAAAACCCCCAAGATGATTAAAACAAAATTTGTTAAATTTTGTATTTCAGCCATACGATATTCTTGCATTGATACCTGTTATTGAAGGCGCTGGAGGTGTCATAACTGATTGGAAAGGAGATCAACTGTTTTGGGAAGCTTCTCCACTTTCGATCGCAACACGTATGTGCTCATTGAATATAGCTCCTTTGAGGCCATGTCTAATTTCAATTTCATTTTTAATTGCTTTTCTTAGTCTTCTTGCCACCTTGACCTTGAATAAATGTATTCCGGAAGTCATGGAAGTTTGTCACTTATTGGGTATCGTTCAAATGTTGGCTTATTTGCATGTGTCAGGTTTTAATGTTGTGGCCGCTGGTGACAAACAGATTCATCAACAAGCTCTAGATTCATTACAGTGGAAGTGATGGCTTGAATTAACCTTCAGTGCAAATAATCTTCTCTGGAAACTCTCTTGGTTCAGATGTTGCTAAGGACATGTATTATTATACCATTATTCGGGATTTATTTAAGTTGAAAACGGTGTACTCAGAATATTGAACTCCATGATTTAACCTCATTCTCGATTGGATGGTCATGTATTCTTCAACAGCTTATAACAAGTTCAAAATTCAAAATAAACTTAAAAAAAAAAAACAAAAATAAAGCTCTAACTAAAAGTGTTTCAAAATTAAAGAAACTGACGTTCCACTCATTTTCAAACTTGTCCAACGAGTTAGAATTACATATAGTAATATGATCATTTTCTTTAAGCTAATGATGCTGTCAAAGTAAACCTGTTTTAAAATTGAATGATTAAATTAATATAAAGTAAATGCTAATGGCCGGAAAAGGATTAGTTTTTTGACGGAGTTATGGATAAATTAGTATTCATAGAAAGATTTTTTTTTTTACACCAAAGAAACATATAACGTTAGTAGACAAAGTACGGTGTACCTTAAATTTATTCTACATTCTGTAATTTTATACGTAAATATTTTGTTGACAAATTAACTTTACCGAGGGAACCATTATTTTAATTTTATGAAGTTGTAAATGCCTGTCAAACTAATTATTGAAATTAATAAAATGGCAAAACAAAGGCCCTAAAATACACGTTGTTAATTAATGTACTCTCAATGTTACTAGGTGTTATTTAATGTCGTTAAAAATGTTACATTCACATGTTAAGTATTTAACGTAAAGTCAAATTGTTTAGACAGTATTTAAGTTCAATTTTTAATAAAAATAATCTTAAATCATATTTTATTTATCTTTTGATTATTAAATTAATTTAATACAAAGTCTTAAAATACTTATACGAAACTAAAAAAAAATATGCACATGAGGTTTTCACGTTACAAGACAAAAGTGACTAAAATTAGTGCAATAATAAACATTTTTTTTTTCTCTATTCTGCCTCATTAGTCTCCAATCCATTGAAAAAATATTATCAGATCATAACTGTAAGTTGTACATATATTTGATTAATTTGTGTGAAATAAATGTGACATTTTTAAGGTTGATGTCTTTATGGAGGTGACACTTGATAGAAAAAAAAAATCACCACTCAAATTAGTTATTTTTTTTACACCAATAAGTCAAATTAGTTGAAAAATAACATATACATGATTAATTTCATTCATCTAATGGCCAAGATTGTTCCTCCTCCGACGGTCGTTAAATAAAAGAAAGATTTTCATCCATGTAAACAGCTGCATGTGTACTTAGTTGACAGTTATTATGCTTTTTAATGAAATTAAATAGCTTCAGTTAACAGAAAAACTAAATTAATTGATGATTTACAATTTAAGAAACTATCTTGCTATTTTATTAATTTCAAGTGAAATTTATTTCAATCTCACAATTAATTGATGATTCGGTCTAACTTTAATCCATACTTAAAATTTCAAACGAATCCTTATAAACATTATTTCCACCTAAAGTGGGAACGTATTTTCTTTTTAAGTGTTTACGTGTCAAACTGAGCAGACACCAGACTGCGAAGGGATAGACATGCAATGAAGAACCGTTGATTCATAATCTTTCAGTGACCTCCCCAATAGCCTGTTTGTGTCGGCAAATGGTGAAACTAATGCAGATAAATTGCAAAGCTAATAAAAACGGTTTAAGATATTGGAAAGAATGACTATGTAATGTATGCGAGTAAACTGCTATATAAGTCAATAAAACTGTTTAAGAATGAAAAGGGAAGATTTATTGCATAAAATATTTTTTGTCAAATTTTTTTTTTTTTTAGTTATAGAAGCTGTAAGCTAAAATAAACCATAAAAATATAATACATTTATTACATTATTACCGTGACTTTGTTGTTGAGGCTGAGGCGGCAAGGGAAGTTGTTTAAATAAGGTTCCAAATTGATTTGGCGAAGATGAAAAGAGTGTATAAGAGTTGTTCCTTATTGCTGTGAGATGGCAGAGGAATCTGTACGACGTCGTTCTGCTGCGGTGGCCGAGTATCGCAGAAAGCGTATCCATTGTGAGATCATTCGTTGCGACCATGAAATAGGTCTCATTTCTTTCCTTTCTTTTTCCTTCACATTCAAGATCAATGACTTTTCTTTGCTTTTTAAAAACTCAACTTCTTTTATCTTTCTTTCTTTCTTCTTTTAAACATTTGATTCGGTAAAGAAGCACGGGAATTAATAAATAGATTTGGAATTATGTTGTTCTCAGCCAAAGTGGATTTGCAAATTGCAATGTTGGATCATGCAGAAACTGTGGCTGCACTCCAGGATGAAGTTGGCGAAATAGTTGCTCATGTTCAAACGGTTTATAAAGATCAACGCTGTAGGCATAACTACGTCTCAAGATTCAACTCTCAGTATGCATGCATGCAAGAACAATGAACTTGCAAGCTTCCTTTTATAAAATGCGTTTCATTCGTTATTAAGAGTGCATGCTATTTGAATCCTTTCAGATGGAATTAAAACAAATTGTGGACTTAGATTAATAGTTGGCTGTGGCAGTAAAGTGGACAAGGAGAAGCTAATTGTAGGCACAAGAGTTTGCTTGCATGATGGTACAAACTTCATTACGCGAATTCTTCCGCCCCAAGTACATATCCATCATATCATATCTATATTCTTCTATCATTTATCGTGTTTGGCTGATAATTATTCTACATTATTTGTAAGAAATTAATGTCTCATGTGTGTGGCAAATGAAAG